TGTATATTGTATAATTTTATGTTTATGTATTATTGTATTATATATATACATACACTAAAACAAAAGAAATGTGTTCCACTGGACAAAAAGATCAGAAAATACAAAAAACAATAAAAAAAAAAGCAGATTGGAGTAAATCCACACTTAACTTTAAATAAATTAATTAGAAGATCTTGTTAAATATAATTTATCATTCACAATGAAATATTTAACAAGTTTTTATATTTTTACAGGCTTTTAGAAAATTCATTTGAAGAACTTGTTGCATTTCAAAGAGCATTGAAAGAACTTGTTTCTGGTGTAGATACTACATATGCAAAGCAGTTTGAAGAATTTTATATTGGATTGGAAGGAAGGTTTGTATATTTTTAAAATTTGTTCAATGAATGTATAGATTTTGATTTTAATTTTGAATTGCTTAATATGAGAAACAAAAAGTCCTAAAAGAATATTAGTTTATTAAATGATTTGTCTGAATATTATGTATCTAACTTTACTGACTAGCATCACCATATTATATATTTTTTGTCACACACAATACTATGAAATGCTACTTTAAAAATTTTAATAGTTTCTCAGTTAATGAAGAATGCTCATTCACTAATTGGAACTTTTAACTGAGAATTGTGTCAAATTTTTAATTTAACAAGGAAGCAAAAGAAAACAGTTCAAAACTTTTCTAAATTCTAGTAGTAAAACTATATTTTTAATATATTGTCAATTTCCTATCTTTAAATTCTGTATCTGAAAAAATAAGTTTGTAATTAATGTTAATTATATAGATGTGTTAAAATTATTTTTATCATATTTAATTTAAATCAATTAAAATTTTGGTTATTACAAAATGTTGATTTAATATTGTAAGTATCTTTTCCAAATAAAAATACACAATTTCATTATAGTTTTGGATCGAAACATGTAACACCTCGTACTCTACAAGCTCGCCAGCTTGGAAGCATTGTTTGTGTAGAAGGAATTGTAACAAAATGTATGTATTTTCAGTAAAGATAATATAAACTTTAATATAATATAATTTATAAAATAATATAAACTTTAATTTGATTAAATTTAATTTAGGTTCTTTGGTTCGTCCTAAAGTTGTCCGTAGTGTTCATTACTGTCCAGCAACAAACAAAACTTTAGAAAGAAGATATACTGATTTGACTTCATATGAAGCTTTTCCATCAAGTTCTGTTTATTTGACAAAGGTTACTTTTACTTTCAAAATTATTAAATTGTTATTTATAATATATAAATAACTAAATTTCAATGTAATACAATATACAGTAGAACCTTGTTAAGAAGTTTTTGAAGGGACACAGTAAAAATACTTTTTAGGCAGGAAACTTCTTATGCAGGAATTGTAAAAAAAAATAAATTTTTATTTGTATATTCAATTTTTTATCAATATGAAGGTAATATATTGTAGTGTAGTGTAACATAGTAAAATATAGTAAGATGCATTGACTATAGTAGGTGCTTTATGGTGCATGTATGGTGTCAATATGACTTGTCAACAGTTAATGAACATCACCAGATAGGGAGTATGGTCAAAGTAACATTATGATCCTAGCTAAATTAATGACCATCTCAGGTGTGCAGGTGTTTGATATACAATATGTTGAACATCTGGAGTTATTTTATTAAAACTTTACTATTTTTTATAAGTGTTAAAGTTATGATGAGGAAAAAGATTACAATTTGTCTCTAGTGGAAACTTCTTAAATGAGTCAAATATCATCAGTGGGACCAATATTTTGGAATTTCTTACCTGGGGAAGCCTTCTTATGCAAAAAATTTTAACACTCATCTTATAGTGTAAATGCTGAAACTGGAAAATTTAGACTTCTTATATGGGAAAACCTTTCATGTAGAAACTTCTTAAACAGGTTCTACCATATATATATATGAATTTTAACACTCATCGTAATTCTATATATATGAATATATAGAATTATGATTGCCATGCCAAGTATTATTAATAACAAATAATGCAATTTTTGGGAAATTATTTTAATTACTATTAACAGTAATTATATAATTAATATATTTGGATACTTAAACTGTTTAATGGACCGAAAGTTTTCACTACAAGTGGGTGTGCTTCTATCAGCAATAAGTTTAACCCTTTAAAATCAACATCCCGAAAAACCTCGGGCAAGTTCCATAGAGTTTCATAAAACTCGGTACTTTCGGCCCTTTCCCAAAAATTTTTTTTTTTGAATTTTTAAAATGTTTTTTAGGTCCCCAAATTTTTTCAGAATTTTTTGTCCGCGCGAAAAAATTTTATCGCGATTTTAATGAGCCTTTGTTAAGGCTCAATTGTTTTTCAATGGGAGTTTTTTATCAAATTTATTTCATGGTTCCTAAGTTGTAGCGCACGGATTTTTTTTCGGTAAAGTTATTAAAAGCTGCTTTTTGATGTCAAAAACGACCTCCGATAGTTTTTTAATTTTTTTAATTAATATATTTTATTTTATATTAATTTAATTAATTAGGGGGGTCGGAAATCGCAATTAAAATTTTAATTTTTTAAAAACATTTAAAAATATACGATTAATTCACCTTGACCCTACTTTAAACCCTTGTCCTCCCGAGACGTTTATGAGAATGCCCCGGGAAATCCGACTCCAGCTGTGTTCAAGGTCACCCAGCTGTGTAAACAATAACTCATCGGTGTTATATTTCACAGAAAGACGAGACAAAGGAAAATAAAGTTTGAAGCTTTTTCTTCAAAATTAACGCATTTTTTTCGTTTTTTTTCAGTTTAAAGTATTTTTTATGTTTAATTAAACATTAGCATTAAAAATTACGGTGTACACTCCAGCGTATTTTTACGCCGGTGGTAAAGAAAGGGTTAATTAGATAATTTAGAAGAAACTGTATAAAAGTCTTCAGATAGCATAATTACAACATAAATATTAAATGAAAGATGCAAGTTTCAATCCTATTTTTTTTCTGGCTTTCTAAATCATCTACTAAGCTGATCCAGAAAGTAAGTACTGTTTGTGCATATCTCCCATGCATCTGACAGTACAAATGTCAGACATGCGTAGTTACATCCTTCAACTCCAGAAGGAATTATCATAGCCATTTTGTTTTGATTATGTTAATTTTGCAAGTGATGATGAGACCAAGGTAAACATGCAGAACTGGTTCAGGTCGCAGGCAGCCAAATTCTACAAAGCGGGTATGTTGCAATTAGTGCCAAGATATGACACATACCTTAATTTGCATGGTGAATATGTCGAAAAGTAGTTTAAGGTATGTAGATTTTTCTGTAATAAAATACAAATTGCAAATCTTTTTTAATACCCAAATGGTACTTACTTTCTGGATGAGCTTAGTAATTTTTGAAATTTATAAGCAGATATCAGCATGATTATTTATTTTGATGTTGTTTAATCATTAAATAATTTTCAAAAAATTATCAAATACAGTGGTGCNTACTAAGCTGATCCAGAAAGTAAGTACTGTTTGTGCATATCTCCCATGCATCTGACAGTACAAATGTCAGACATGCGTAGTTACATCCTTCAACTCCAGAAGGAATTATCATAGCCATTTTGTTTTGATTATGTTAATTTTGCAAGTGATGATGAGACAAAGGTAAACATCCAGAACTGGTTCAGGTCGCAGGCAGCCAAATTCTACAAAGCGGGTATGTTGCAATTAGTGCCAAGATATGACACATGCCTTAATTTGCATAGTGAATATGTCGAAAAGTAGTTTAAGGTATGTAGATTTTTCTGTAATAAAATACAAATGAAAACAAATTGCAAATCTTTTTTAATACCCAAATGGTACTTACTTTCTGGATGAGATTAGTTATTTTTGAAATTTATAAGCAGATATCAGCATGCTTATTTATTTTGATGTTGTTTAATCATTAAATAATTTTAATAATTTTCAAAAAATTATCAAATACAGTGGTGCCTCATATAACGTACTTAATCCGTTCCAGGTGCATATTCATTAAGTGAAAAGTCTGTTATACGAAACGCATTTTCCCATAGAAATACATGTTAAAACATATAATTCGTTCCATAAAATAAATAATACTGTACCATAAAATAAATGAAAATGGAGCAGTCACGAATTATGCCAGGTAGTCAGATGTTGTGAGGAGGAAGTGGAGGAACACTTTCTTTACACATTCATACAGATACAGACTTTTTACACATTGCAGCAAGTCTCTTTTTATTGTATTTTAATCGAAGTCAGATTCAGGAGAGTCTAGCAGAGCTTGCAGGGTCATCTCCTCTTGTTCCATCCTTTGTTTTTTGGCAGCTTGCTTCTTGAAAAACATGTCCAAGGTGGTCTGCTTCTCTCTCTTCTTCAACACCTGTCTGAAATGACGGGCAAGGGTGTCATTGTAGAGATCATTGATCCTGTTGACCTTAGCTCTGTTTGGATAATGAGTGTTGGTAAACTCCTGAACCTCTCCCCATTTGACAAGGAAGTGTTTGTCAACTTTCACTCCTTCTGATTTCTTGCTTTGTTTCAATTGAAATCACCTTTCTGTTTTTTAGAAGCCATTATTTGCACAACACTTAAATAAATGTAAATACCCTGCACTGAGATGATGTACAGTACTGTACATAATAAACAAGGGAGCAAGTTGAATTCCAACGGGAGCTCTGTACTTCAGATATAATAACAATATATTCTAATAATACTAATATATTATAAAAATAGCGGATTGTCATTGGCAATGGCAAAAGAGTGGAAACATCATTTGCACTTGTTTGCAGAAAGACCATTGTTCGCCTTACGTAACTGCTGAACGGAAAGTCCGTTGTTCGCAGCCAGTTTGTTGCTTGAGTCATGTAACAACCAAACAGAAAGTCCATTGTTCGCAGCATCCGTTATTCGAGGCATATGTTATATGAGGCACCACTGTGTATATATATATATACTTACACTGTATATATACATACATACATACATATATATACAGTGTAAGTCTGGCTTTGGTAAGTATATATACTTTCTAGGGTGTAAGTCTGGTTTTGGGTAGCTAATGGGGTTTGATTTGGAGAGAGCCATTGTCTTTTATGTTTGGGATTGTCATAAAGGAGCCATTTCTCATATCCAGTCACCATGCAATCAAGAAGCGCTTCTGATTATGTTGTTGCAACAACAAATTACAGGTGATTGAACAATTAGTTTTGTTGAACCCAAACACCTTCTATGTTAACTTTACCAATCTGCTTCAAATGTTCTTGAATGATTGACCAAGGTGTGTTAAGCTTATCTGATAACTCTTCAATCGTTTAACAAGGATTTGCTTCCACTTCTGTCCATAAAACATCATTATCAAGAGACACTGATCTTCCTGAATGAGGTGAGTCACAAAGATCAAAATTACCCGACCTCAACCTAGCAAACTACCCATGGCATTTACAAACATCTAATGTGGCTGGATAAACATCACAAATGTTTTTTTGTAGCTTTTGTTGCATCACTACATTTCTGAAACTTGAATAACATGCAGTATTGAATATGTAACTCTTCTGGTTTTTGGCTTGACATTTCAAACAGGGATGTTATAAAAATGAAATTCTTTTGTAAAACAAAAGAAAAGAAGTAACTTTCACTTATAAAAAATATCTTGCACCACAACTTCAGCATACACAATAAACTGAGTAGCATTACATAAATGTTGATATGTGCACAAACAACATTACTTTCTGATTTTCCTTATAATTATTATTATTTATATACACTTTTCTGTCAACATGCATAATAGAAAATGAACAGAGCTTTTTAATACACATTCTCAGAATTTTAAAATTGTTCTTATATACTGTGAATATAACTAAGTACAACAATCAAAAATCTTGATATTCCCAGTAAATAATTTAATATAGATTTGACAAACATTTTTGATCTTACACAAGATCTGCTTCAGATCTAAATGGTTTGGATTGGTGTACTTAGTTCTAATTATCAATATAGTATATTAACTTCTTCACATTAACTGGAAATTTTTTAATGTAGATAATTCTATGAAAGCATAAAATTCTTCAATTTATAGTGAACATTTTATTTGGATCAGAATACATGCAATAAACAGTCTAATTATAACATCCTCTTATCAATATTCTCAAAAGCAGAAAAACTTGCAGATAACTTGAAAAGCCGGATTTTTAATTCCTCTCTTGGAATTCTTGTGATTAAGAACACTTTTGTACTAAATTTTT